TCCCTAGCTCAGGGACTATATAGGGACAAATTTTTTTAGCTACAATGGTTTCTCATTATATACGCTGTTTCCTCATGTCATATGTATAGAAAAATATATACTGTGATGTTTTCCTTTGCCAAATACTGCACAGAGAGCAAAAAGTGTGCCATATACAGATGGCATTGTTAATGTGTATTTCAGTCAACTGATGACAAATGAAGCTACTATTCATACATGCCCTTTTAAGACTGTGATGAACGAGCTAAGACGAGACTCCAGATTCTGTCTGCCAGAGTTGGAAAATAAAGGCAGACATTGCAATGGAGTAGGAATGGGTTCTTCCCTTTGGACCACACGATATAAACTATCAGCTCCATCCTGCAGAGTGGATGAGGGCAACGGTGAATGGCCAGTGTCTAGCTAGGAATCTGCATGTAGCAAGGTAAAACTGTGAAGATACTTGTGAAAATTGCTCATTTGGAAAGGAAACTGAGATCTTACTTTCCTTCCTCCTTAGTTTTCTCCAGGACAAATGAGGAGACAGACACAGTGTGGTCAGGGATAGGTCAAGAGGACTGAAATATTTATTGCCATACCTTTAGAGGGTTCAGGTGCTGATGGCCCACATCTCACTTGTGGAGACAGGAGAAGAGGATATATCAGGCCCCTTGTGTCTTTATAATCTTTCTTTGTTTGAACAGCTTCAGTTTAAGGGTGTTCAATTTGATTTAACTTAAGTTGACTCACAAGAGTTTAGGAAAAAATCGTAACTAAGAGTCAATGTTGAACAATAGGATTTTTAACTGAAATTCAATCTAATCCAGGGCCACTGGAATCAAGGTAAGATTCAGGTAAGAAGGACATGAGTTGAAATCTGTGGGCCACTGGGAGGAAGGGACATTTCACTGGTCAGACTTTATTAACAATAAATAAAGCTTTGGTAAGGACTCTGGTGCCCTTACAGAATGATTACTCAACATTGAATAAGCAGATATGAAGAAGAGAGCAGGGCAAATTGGAAGTTAGTGTAAGAGTTTATATAAAGTAATATGAATAATTCTAAAAGTTATGTAGATTTAGGAGTATCTCACAGGAGCAGTGAGATTGAGGAAGACACCTACAAGTCTTCATGAACCAAATTTCTTAATATGAGACCATCTTTTTTCATTATTCATCCAGCCCCAAATTAAAACACAAACATCCCGTAAGTATAAGTTTAACGTGAAGTGCCCCGCCCACGGATGGTATAGTTGCTTAAGTACTGGAGTTGGGATGTGATGATATACCAGCTTGGTGGGGTTAGTAGGTAGCAATTTTGAAGGTCTCTCCATAATGGTCAGGGCAGCAAAAAATTTCTAGATTACTTGGTAATATGTCCTCTTTAAGCTGACTTAATAGTTATCCTCCTAAATATTCTCCCTTAACCCAGCTTCTGAATACTGATAATTCACCTTACACCAAAGAACATGAACCAGAAAATCAGTGAAAAGAAAACAAAAGTCATGTACTAAGATAAGCTGTCTGAGAAATATAACTGAGCAAAAGGCCAGCAAACACAGCAGCCAGTGGCAATTAGGAGAGCTTTGTGGAGACCTGAGGATCACTGGTGAAAAATATCAACAATGTTAATGATATGTTTGGGATGAAGCCCTGGATCTTATTGCCCTGCTGTACCCCATAATCATTCAGATCTTCAACAAATATTTACTAGCGTAAAATGTGGGGGCAGGCATTGTGCCAAATACTAGAGCATTTGATGAAAAAAAGACAATATTTACTCTCAAGGAGTCACATTCTACTAAGGAATACACACAAGCACATACAGAATCATATGCTGATTCATTCTTGGGAAATTACAGGGTTCTACAAGAGCACATTTGAAAAGCTCCTACTCCAGCCTCTGGGGATGGGCAGAGAAAAGACCAAGAGAAGTGGACTCGAGTGAGTAGGTGGCCTCAGCATAGAGACGTAGCCACTGTATAGGCTGGCACGAATCTCAAGCAATAGAGAGTATTGCATAATGTAAAGAAAGACATAGTCCAGAAAAATAGCACAGTGGATGAAGGTGCCAAACTCACTTCTTTACCCCAAGTTATTTTAGGAGTGTGATATGCATGTGATTGATTTGAGAGAGAAGATGAATGGTACCTTCCATGAAAGATCTTTTCTAAAGACATGGAGTTAGAGTTCAATTCTATGAAGAGACTGAAAATACAAGAGAAAATATTTGCCACACCATACTGGGCTCCAGGTTCAAAAGTGATGGATCAAATAGTTGGATGAGAAGAAAGAATTATCAAGCATGATGAAGCTGAGATAATCAGAGAGAATATTTGAACCAAGATACTTTTGACTAGGACCATTCAAGAAGAATAATGATGATCTGAATGATCACAGGTTAGCTAATAACAAAACTTCTAAACCCATTAGCTCCTGGTCACTGCTGGACTGCAGGATTTTCACTTCTCTGGAAGAAGTCACCCATGCCCTGAGTACACTGTATCTCTGAGGGATTGTAATCCTGGTGCTAGGCCAGCATGTTACAAATGTTGGAAGCTGCTTATAAGTTGTACAAACTAAGTGTTTTTCTACAAGTGTCTTCTGAGACTTGATACTTGGACTCCTGAGCAACTTACTTTTTAAAGCTACTCTCTCCATATAAAAATGAGAGCAATGGGACAGAAAGAAAATTGCACGAAAGAGTTAAAGATAATTTATACACACTTAAATAGGCTAACTGTTCTAACCAGATTCTTTTCCCTTCTTCCCCTATTACATTTTTTGGAGAATATTTCAAGATTGACTTCCATATCAATTGTTTGAGTTCCTTCTACATTCATTCTCTCACTTTCCCCAGAATTTCAAATAGTATTTCTTGAGCACCTGTTACATAACAGACGCCGTGTTAAGCACTGCGGACACAATCATGAATCAGCCATAATCCCTGCCACTGTGGAACTTGCAGTCTAGTGTGTGAAATGTATAAACAAATGATTTTAATATGATAATCATGCACTAACTCTATGAGAACGCATATTATTCACCCATCCACCCACCAGGCATTCAACACACATTTATTGAATTCCATCTATGTGCCAGGTACTAGTCAGTCACTAAGAGTAAACAGGACAAATACTGACCCAGCCTGAGATTCTAACTAATTAGGATCTTCTTTAGTGGATAAGCGAGTGCCTTGCGTAGTCCACACAATAGAACTGACATATTAAACTGCTTTAGAAGCACAGCAAGCTTTGTACTGGGCAGATAAAGAAACTTACTCAAATGGATGACAAATAGTACAAAACATGGAGACACAGTAATTCATGAGATGTTTGAGGATGGACAGCAGTCACACAAAATATAACTAGAGTGGTGACTGTGAACTGTCTACAGTGCACTGGTTCTATGGGAAGTCTACTAGGAGCTCTGTAAGCAAAAAATTTCATGAAAAAACAAAATTAGGAAATAACAGTTAAATAAAAATTGAATAGATTTATTTACTGCAGAATTTCTCTCTGCCTTTAATATGGAGAAGCAAATGTACATCCAAGAGAGGTCTAGAGCTTGCAGAATTAATGGGTTATTTGACTAGGGAATACCTTTTTCATAAAGCATTTTTCAAGGCTACTGTTCTGTGGAGCACACCTTTGAAAATGATAGGCCAGAGCAGAGACCAGGCCAGCATGGAGCTGTTGATAGAGCTGGTTAGGTTTGTTTGAATCACGCTGTGAAAGGCTGTTGGGCAATACAGTTTGTACTCTACTGACTAGATGCATGTGGAGAAGGAAAACAATGGATTTCCATGTTTTTATTTTTCTTTGAACTAAACTAGTTTACTTCCTAAAAATGTTTAACCCTGAAGCATTCAATAGAAAGACGTACACAGGAAACGATACACCAGATACGCATGTGCCTTAATTTGAAATTTATCAGCTATTAATATTTTGACATATTTGCTTTAGATATTTTAAAGAGTTAATTATATCAGCAACTGTAGATCTCAAAAACAATTTTGAGTAAAAACAAAAATCAAGTTGCAGAATGTATTCTATAGTACCATATATAAAGTTTAGACACCTGCAAATATTACCATACAATGTTTGTGGATTCACGAATATATGCTAAAATACAGAAGTGTTCATGAGAATTACAAACACTGAGATGCAGATTGCAAATTTCTGTAGAGATAATGGGAAGGAAGCGTTTTCAACTGTGTCTAAAATATTTAATTCCTCAATGAAAATAAAAATAGTATCTGAAATATATAAGAAACAATGCTAATTTATAAAGTTGGGTGATGACTGTCTTAGGTTCATTTCCCTGGGAATAGAATTTGAGACAGTGATTTGTAGACACTTAAGAATAACTCCTAAAAGAAAATGAGGAAATAAGGATTGGGCACAGGGAAAAATGATCAGAATAGGGGCACCATCTGAACCCACAGGGATGTCTGAAGCTGGGATGACGCTTCAGAGATTTCCCAAATTGAGGCAAGGGTGTTGAGTACTGAGACCTTTGCCTTGACCAGTCAGCTTTCGGCTGACCCTGAGAAGGGGGTCAAAGCCTGGGCAAGGCATTTTGCTTCAGCCAAGAGCAATTCAATGCGCAGCTCTAGCCTTCAGCTGTGGGGTCATGTATGCATTGCTTGGGTCTGCAAGGCACATCTGTGTAGTACACCAACCACAGCTTCCACTACAATGATGCACCTTGTGTCATTTTATTACTATTTGTATGTTTAAAATATTTCATACTTACTCAAGCCTCAGCATTAAAAAAAGAGAAAAACAACCTTCCAACCTTTAGTTAACAGTATTTCCCAAAGCATTCCCCCAACACACAGACATACACACACCCACAACGTAAGTGCTGGGTGTAATCAGGTCACATACTTACTATTTTGCTTTCTGTTTTCTCTATGTTTCTGGCAACTGGAGACTCTTCTGTCTCCCTCTCCCACTCGCTGGTTTGGAAAGCTTTGTAATGTACTTTTAAAAGCACAATTTACTCAGCATATTTACCTTTTTGCTACAGGAGAGCTTAGCTGGCCTTCTTGCTGGAACATGGCTGTTTTCCCTGAAGTGTCAATTCTGAAGTGATTCTAAAGAAAAGAAATCAAGATAATTCCATTATTGGACTATAGCACCTTTCCTTAATCATCTCAATTTCCCTCACTCTGTCCCAGTATAAAAAGCTTCAATTCCATACAGAATTGTATTGTTTTATTTTGCCTTTTTTTGGTCAGTACCATAAGGTCCACTAAGGTCCATATACCCACCAAATCAGGGTCCATAGACTATGGTCCAAGGGACAAATAGGGACTGCTGCTTGTTTTTGTCACACAGAGATGATGCTCATTCATTTACATACTGTCTGTGGTAGCTCTGCCCTGCAATTGCAGAGCCGATAGCCGTGATACCAACTTATACCCCACAAGGCCTGAAATACTTACTATCCGGCCCTTTACAGAAAATGTTTACCATCCCTGCTTTAAAAGCCTCGGCGTCTTACATTTTGCTTTTAGAAAATCTGTGAGTGGTGAACACAGCAGTGGACAGGTTTATCACATTTGGCCGTGTGACCTTTCTCCATTGTTTTTCAAACAGAAACTAAAAAATGTATTAATGCCGGTTGCACGGGCAATACTTTCTTGTATCTCTCCCAGGCCGCTGTGGGGAAGCCATTTCTTGTCCTAAAATATGTCTCAACTACAACAAGGGAAAAGTCAAGGAGAAAACGGTTTTCAGATCTACTTTTGCAGTCTATAGACAACCACCAATTACTGATTTGGGCAATAAACAGTAGTGGCTAATATCTGAATATACACAGACACAAACACACGTATGACATTACGTCATGGGAATTGGCTGCTTGCCTTCTTTTTTTTTTTTTTTAAAAAGTTTTTATTGGAGTATAACTGCTTTACAATGAATGGTGTGTTAGTTTCTGCTTTACAACAAAGTGAATCAGTTATACGTATACATATATCCCCATATCTCTTCCCTCTTGCGTCTCCCTCCCTCCATCCTAGCTGGTCACAAAGCACCAAGCTGATTTCCCTGTGCTATGTGACTGCTCCCCACTAGCTATCTATTTTACATTTGGTAGTGTATATATGGACATATATATACTATATATACACTACCATATATACACTACCACTCTCTCACTTTGTCCCAGCTTACCCCACTCCCTCCCCGTGTCCTCAAGTCCATTCTCTAGTGGGTCTGCTTCTTTATTCCCGTCTAGCCCCTAGGTTCTTCGTGACATTTTTTTTTTTTTAGATTCCATATATATGTGTTACCATATGGTAATTGCTTTCCTCTTTCTGATTTACTTCACTCTGTATGACAGATTCTAGGTCCAACCACCTCACTACAGATAACTCAACTTCATTCCTTTTTATGGCTGAGTAATATTCCATTGTATATATGTGCCACATCTTCTTTATCCATTCACCTACTGATGGACACTTGGGTTGCTCCCATGCCCTGGCTATTGTAAATAGAGGTAAAATGAATATTGTAGTACATGACTCTTTTTGAGTTACGGTTTTCTCAGGGTATATGCCCAGTAGCGGGATTGCTGGGTTGTATGGCAGCTCTATTTTTAGTTTTTTAAGGAACTTCCATACTGTTCTCCATAGTGGCCATATCAGTTTACATTCCCATCAACAGTGTATGAGGGTGCCCTTTTTTCCACACCCTCTCCAGCATTTATTGTTTGTAGATTTGATGATGGCCATTCTGACTGGTGTGAGATAATATCTCATTGTAGTTTTGATTTGCATTTCTCTAATGATTAATGATGGTGAGCATTCTTTCATGTGTTTGTTGGCAATCTGTATATCTTCTTTGCAGAAATGTCTATTTAGGTCTTCTGCCCATTTTTGGATTGGGTTGTTTGGTTTTTTGATATTGAGCTTTACAATTGAGCTTTACAAAATCAAATATTTACAATATTTGATACTGTAAATTTTGGAGACTAATCCTTGGTCAGTTGCTTCATTTGCAAATATTTTCTTCCATTCCGAGGGTTGTCTTTTCATCTTGTTTATGGTTTCCTTTACTGTGCAAAAGCTCCGAAGTTTCATTAGGTACCATTTGTTTATTTTTGTTTTTATTTCCACTCCTCTAGAAGGTGGATCAAAAAGGACCTTGCTGTGATTTCTGTCATAGAGTGTCCTGCCTACGTTTTCTTCTAACAGTTTGAAAGTGTCTGGCCTTACATTTAGCTCTTTAATCCATTTTGAGTTTATTTTTGTGTATGGTGTTAGGGAGTGCTTTAATTTCATTCTTTTACATGTAGCTGTCCAGTTTTCACAGTACCACTTATTGAAAAGGCTGTGCTTTCTCCATTGTATATTCTTGCCTCCTTTATCAACGATAAGGTGACCATAGGTGTGTGGGTTTAATCTCTGGGCTTGCTATCCTGTTCCATTGATCTATATTTCTGTTTCTGAGCTAGTATCATACTGACTTGATAACTGTAGCTTTGCAATATACTCTGAAGTCTGGGATCCTGATTCCTCCAGCTCCGTTTTTCTTTCTCAAGATTGCTTCGGCTATTCAGGGTCTTTTGTGTTTCCATACAAACTGTGAAATTTTTTGTTCTAGTTCTGTGAAAAATGCCAGTGGTAGTTTGATAGGGATTACATTGAATCTATAGATTGCTTTGGGTAGTAGAGTCATTTTCACAATGTTGATTCTTCCAATCCAAGAACACGGTATATCTCTCCATCTATTTGTATCATCTTTAATTTCTTTCATCAGTGTCTTATAATTTTCTGCATACAGGTCTTTTGTCTCCTTAGGTAGGTTTATTCCTAGGTATTTTATTCTTTATGTTGCATTGGTAAATGGGAGTGTTTTCTTAATTTCACTTTCAAATTTTTCATTATTAGTGTATAGGAATGCAAGAGATTTCTGTGACTTTTCTCTCCTGCTACTTTACCAAATTCATTGATCAGCTCTAGTAGTTTTCTGGTAGCATCTTTAGGAATCTCTATGTATAGTATCATGTCATCTGCAAACAGTGACAGCTTTACTACTTCTTTTCCAATTTGGATTCCATTTATTTCTTTTCCTTCTCTGATTGCTGTGGCTAAACCTTGCAAAATTATGTTGAATAATAGTGGTGAGAGTGGGCAACCTTGTCTTGTTCCTGATTTTAGTGGGAATGGTTCCAGTTTTGCACCATTGAGGATGACGTTGGCTGTGGGTTTGTCATATATGGCCTTTATTATGTTGAGCAAAGTTCCCTCTATGCCTACTTTCAGGAGGATTTTTTATCATAAATGAGTGTTGAATTTTGTTGAAAGATTTCTCTGCATCTATTGATATTATCATACAGTTTTTCTTCTTCCATTTGTTATATGGTGTATCACATTGATTGAGTATACTGAAGAATCCTTGCATTTCTGGAATAAACCCCACTTGATCATGGTGTATGATCCTTTTATAAGGTGCTGCTGGATTCTGATTGCTAGTATTTTGTTGAGGAGTTTTGCATTGATGTTCATCAGTGTTATTGGTCTGTAGTTTTCTTTTTTTGTGACATCTTGGTCTGGTTTAGGTATCAGGGTGATGGTGGCCTTGCTGAATGAGTTTGGGAGTGCTCTTCTCTGCTATATTTTGGAAGAGTTTGAGAAGGATAGGTGTTAGCTCTTCTCTAAATGTTTGATAGAATTTGCCTGTGAAGCCATCTGGTCCTGGGCTGTAGTTTGTTGGAAGATTTTTAATCACAGTTTCAATTTCAGTGCTTGTGATTGGCCTGTTCATATTTTCTATTTTTTCCTGGTTCAGTCTCGGAAGGTTGTGCATTTCTAAGAATTTGTCCATTTCTTCCAGGTTGTCCATTTTACTGGCATATAGTTGCTTGTAGTGATCTCTCATGAACCTTTGTATTTCTGCAGTGTCAGTTGTTACATCCCCTTTTTCATTTCTATTTCTATTGATTTGAGTCTTCTCCCTTTTTTTCTTGATGACTCTGGCTAATGGTTTATCAATTTTGTTTATCTACTCAAAGAACGAGCTTTTAGTTTTATTGATCTTCGCTATCATTTCCTTCATTTCTTTTTCATTTATTTCTGATCTGAGCTTTATAATTTCTTTCCTTCTGTTAACTTTGGGGATTTTTGTTCTTCTTTAATTGCTTTAGGTGTAAGGTTAGGTTGCTTATTTGAGATATTTCTTGTTTCTTAAGATAGGATTGTATTTCTATAAACTTCGCTTTTAGAACTGCTTTTGCTGCATCTCATAGGTTTTGGGTCGTGTTCTCATTGTCATTTGTTTGCAGGTATTTTTTGATTTCCTCTTTGATTTCTTCAGTGATCTCTTGGTTATTATGTAGTGTATTGTTTAGCCTCCATGTGTTTGTATTTTTTACAGATTTCTTCCAGTAATTGATATCTAGTCTCGGAGCATTGTGGTCAGAAAAGATACTTGATACAACTTCTATTTTCTTAAATTTACCAAGGCTTGACTTGTGACCCAAGATATGATCTATCCTGGAGAATGTTCCATGAGCACTTGAGAAGAAAGTGTATTCTGTTGTTTTTGGATGGAATGTCGTATAAATACCAGTTACATCCATCTTATATAATGTATCACTTAAAACTTGTGTTTTCTTATTTTCATTTTGCATGGTCTGTCCATTGGTGAAAGTGGGGTGTTAATGTCCTCTACTATGATTGTGTTACTGTCGATTTCCCCTTTTATGGCTGTTAGTATTTGCCTTATGTATTGAGGTGCTCCTATGTGGGGTGCATATTTACAATTGTTATATCTTTTTCTTGGATTGATCCTTTGATCATTATGTAGTGTCCTTCTTTGTCTCTTATAATAGTCTTGGTTTTAAAGTCTATTTTGTCTGATATAAGAATTGCTACTCCAGCTTCTTGTGATTTCCAGTTGCATGGAATACCTTTTTCCATCCCCTCACTTCCAGTCTGTATGTGTCTCTAGGTCTGAAGTGGGTCTCTTGTAGACAGCATATATACGGGTCTTGTTTTCAGATCCATTCAGCCAGTCTATGTCTTTTGGGTGGAGCATTTAATGCATTTACATTTAAGGTAATTATCGATATGTATGTTCCAATTAC